GACAAAAGTTGCGGCAAATTTAATTAATCTCCTCTTCTGCTTCCCCTTTTGCTGCCGAAACTCGCATTGCGTATAATCAGCGTATAAATGACCGGCGACCGCAAGTTTTAGCTCTTTTGCAGTTTCTTAGTTTCTTCTCTGCGTTCTTGGCAGACCCCACGTCCCGTCCACCTCGACTGCTTAACTTCGCTGTTTTTACGAGCTGATTGTGGTGAAAGTTAGCTTCGACAATGTAAGAGCAGTAAATTAATTTGCTGCTTGTGGTTTTACTGGCATTTCAATGCTATAAAATATTTATGTGCGTCTGCTTAGCTCTTGCTGCCAAAGGCAACTTGTTGCTGCATAACGGTATATACAGTCGGTTATAAATAGCTTGAAGTGCATCATGGCTTGTTCTTTGGAAAGTCATTTCTTTGGTTTTTGTTCTGTGCTCAAGTTGCCACTCGGGGGAAATATGAGTTGCAGGAGTGACCTCTGTATGTCCTCAAATAAATTTTCCCTTCACTGAGTTGACTTACTTAATTTAAGGGGAGTTGAGGAGTGTATAGTTGGATAGTAAAATGGCTTATAAATATTTTAGTGAATTAAAATGTGTAAAAAACTACTCTTTTTTATCCTATCCTATAAAGTGATCTAATTAATTGAGTCAATTAAGGATAATTAACCTTATTTCGAAATGCTGAAATGCTGTGTCGTCGAAGCCACTCGTGGCGACTTATTCTCTACTCACATACCGATAAGGGAGATGTGGATCGAGAGAAGTCGCTTTAGAAGTAGCACAGTGCGCTTTTTCACGCATGGATCGAAACTAGCAGGGAAGGGCGGAGGGAGAGTTTTCTGTAGGGAACTCTCCGTCAATCTTAGCTTTAGGCTCCTGACTCACTGCAGTGTTTTTCAGGCAGAAGTGGCTGCTATTTAATAGGCCGTAGACGTACTGCTACGAATGCAGCTTTTTTCAAGGAAGTTATCATTCATTCCGACAGCAGAGCGGCAACTCGCTAAGCTTTCATCAAGCTATTAGGTTCATTTATGTGCCTGGTCACAGTGGAATCGCTGACAAGGCGATGAGCTAGCCAGAGAGGGCACCCATGTCCCGCTAACAATAGAATATAATTGAGTTGGATCTCCATTTGCGACTTGTATTCAAGTACTGGACGTCTCGCGTATTTTTAGCAGCCGCTGGTTGACGACCAGTTCCCTTGCGACTGCGAGGTCTATCCGGCCTAGAGTAGAACGCAAGGCAACTACTTAACTATGTGAGCAAAGTTCATCTGCCACTATTTTAGGAGTTCTGACTGGACTGGTAATCTTGACTTCGGCGAATCAGAAGACTGAAGCTGAAGCATTCCGGTAATCCTAACTTCGGCTAACCAGAAGACAGCCGAAACTGTTACTTGGAGTCCCAACAAATTTGGTGCAGGCTGAAAGCGATTTGTCGATCAGTAAGGGTCTTATAATCCAATTTAGAGGTACCAAAACGGGGTGGCGTTCTAAGCTGTCCAAGTGAGGTTCTTCTTAGGTCCTAACCTAATACTAACCAATAGATGAATAAAATAGTTGAATGTAAATATTAAAAGAAGCACATGACAAAAAAAATATAATTATTAAAAAAGTATCGGCCTCCCAAATAAAGTCTTTCTTCTAAAAATTTACGATTTGTTGTCTCGAAATTGAAATTATTTTCAAAAATCTTATTCCTTCGAAATATAATTGTACATCTCATACCTCAAGTCGATCACTCCAGCATTTCGGAAAAATTTTGCTCACCGACTCTGAAATCATCTCTTCCAAAATACCAGTTCTCTGCTCTAAGTTTAAAAATTTTCACAAATACGTTTATAGCTTCGAAACAATTTTTGGAGAAGATTTTCAAATATATACTTATGAGCAAAATAATTTAATTTTCTTGGCTTTTGAAAGTCACAACTTTCCATGTAATCGGCGGTTAAATAAGTTTTTCCCCAATAAAGCTCTTAACGCTATTGGAAATGACTGCTGATGATTTAGTAGAAAACATTTTATCCCTTTAACTACTCGAAACATATTTATCAAAGCTTCCGAAAAAATCGTTGAATCTCTCTGCAATTTTCTTTTCGGTTCGCGCACAAAAGTAGGCTACTATTTTTATTATAACATATTTTTAAGCATAAAAAAGTGAAGCAAGTATCTCCTGTTAATTTATTAGCATTGCTTGTGGTTGTCCGTAATTATTACTAAGCAAATAATATTTTACAGTCCGCAATAAAATTTCCCCAATCATGAGAAAAGTCAATATTAAATTTATTTAAGGGTTAATTATTTGCAATTTAATTTTAATTATTTTCAAAAGTATTTCAACTGGGGTCATTTTAATACTTTGCAATAAATATTTTCCAATTTTTTCGCTTTCTCTTTGTCAACTGTTTTTAGTAAATCTCTCTCTGCAATTATATGCATCGAAACATTTTAAATCAAGCGTAAGCTTTATTTAATAATATTTGTAAAGAATCTTTATTGAATTCAGTGGGATGTTTATAGAAATGCTTTTAATAATTTATTATACATCACGATTGACCAATGAAGGGTGATCCAAGTAGAGGTACTTTTTTATAGCCTCTTTGTTGACTGAAAATACAGCTTGTGCAAGAACTGAAGCCGGTCTTGAAAAGTTCCTGGAAGATCCGACATTTTCAAGCCAATGTTTGTTCAGCGATGTGGCCCATTTCTGGCTTGAAGGGCTCAATTGGGAGGTAGAGCAGCCTGACGAGATTCAAGGGTTGTCATATTTCATACAGAAAAACCAACGGTTTGCTGTGGTTTGTATCGGTCTATATTTCTTCAAAAACGAAATTTGAATTTTCTGTGTTTTTTCTTTAAAAAAGTAGGCAACCTCGAAATGGATCACCCTTTACATACATGTATGTGCATATATATGTATATACAGTTCTCTTTTTATTAAATTTCTGACTCATACGAACTGTGAGAAACTATAAATATTTCAACTATTCCAATTAAAAAATGCTTTGCTGCCACTAAAAGTTTGATTGGCAGCATAAATAATGCGTCTGTGTATGTGCGTTTACATGTTTGCGCGAATTTATAGAGATGATGAATGAAATACTTGCGCGTGATATTATTTATTTGTTTATCGATTTTTTCATACTTGATTGCCACTCACAAAAGCGCTCGGCCTTTGTGAAATTATTTGGCCAAACATAAATTTTCAACATTTCTGCATGTGTATCGCTGTTACTTAATCGTTAGCAGTTTTATATTTCTCTAAAAGGCCGCACACAATTATTTCGATTATTCGAAAAATGCACGCAGAGATATGTGGCATGCTTTCAAGTGTTGTCGGTAGGAATTTCGGTGTGCCTTTACGACTTATAAAATGTTGCACAAATATGCGTGCAACCGTAATTGTTTTTGTAATTGCCGTAAAATGATTTTTTTTTGTTTTTTTTTTGTTTTACATTAAATGATTTTAGTCAAAGATGGCTGTATATAGATCAAAGCGATCTAGTTCAAGTAGAAAATGTATCAATCGTTGTAATACTTGTGGAGGACTGAACGGGTTTTCCTATGTCTCAGAGAAGATGAAAAGTATAAATAGTTTTAAAGAAAGGAATTAATTTTCGAATATGATTATATTCATAAAAATGGTTGTCTTTGAGGCAAATACACCGTTTGTGTCAAACTTCCAACTTGTCTATAACAATTTGCTAGCGAGATTGCTCTTTTGGTTTAAAACGGATCTCTGTCTTGGCGAAGAGCCAGCGACTATACCTTTGAGGTCTAAGCGCAGTAATATTATATATCGCTGAGAGTTAAATCCACAAAACGCGGTGAATGTGGAAAAACTTTGAAGGAATTTCACAGCTCTGTTCGTGAGACACGGCACATTGTCTCGATTTTAGGCTCACAGCTACACCAACTAATCCAGCGCATGTGCTTCTTTTAATATTTGCGTTCAACTGTTTTATTCATCTATTGGTTAGTATTAGGTTAGGACCTAAGAAGAATCTCACTTGGACAGCTTAGAACGCCAATCCGTTTTGGTACCTCACATTGTCAATTTATGAACGAAATGTCCAACAATTTACTTTGAGGATTCTGTGGCAGTGTCGTTTAACTATACCGTCTTCCCAAAGACTCTTCAGAATGTTTACTGCGAGTATCGACATGAACTACTCATTGGACTTTATATGGCTGGCTCGAAAATGGAGTCCGCCGTTAGTGCAGGAATCTTATGTCCAGAGTTAGGCATAAGGTAGCCTTTTAAGTTGCCACATATTACAAGCAGAGATCGGTGCTATTGGAAAAGCTGCAGAGCCAGCACCTGCAAGCACCTGCAGAGCTGAAATACGTGGACAATCTGCAGCAATAAATGCTTTAAACTCTCTTCACTAATCGGTAAGAAGTATCTTGGACACCAGAGCAGTAATGAGCGCCGTCAGAAGCAAGCGGTTTCACTTTTACATAAAGTTATCGATGGAGATGAGATAGTGGAAAACATGAACGAATCCATAAAGTGACTATAACAATCTTGGCAGAAGTGCGGAAATATATAAAAATCCTTCTGGCACTCGATAGAAGGGACTTTAGAAAGATGATCGGAATACTCACTGGTCACTGTCTGCATAATGGGCTAAGAAATTAGAGTGTGAAGAGCAACGCATCAAGCAAACAATTAAGAACTGTTAGGTTTTAGGAATCCCTAAAGGACCTAAAGGATGACTACTCCTCATGGACTTCGAAACTGAATTTTTCTACATGAAGTTCATAGATTTTTAGAGTGAAAATTAGGCATTAATCCCTATCTCGCTAAATATTATCAAAAAGTTTTATAGCCTATTTCAATTTTCTCCTTTGTTTGGATTTAATAATATAAACTATTGTCCCAAGACCCAACAGAATGAAGTTTTGTGACTATAAAAATCAAAGCTTTCTCTAAACTCATTTAGCAGACACTCATAAATGTATTAATGCTCACTTTTCTCGTTTTCTCTTTCTTCCTACAGAGTCTACGCAGCACGGCGTGGACGGCGGCCCTGTATCGTGGCGTTTAACGCTCGATCAGGATCTAATTGATACGCTCAAACGTAGCTTCCCAACTTGGTTTCAAGCGTCCGCCGGCAGTGACGGCAACAATACAACAAACACCAACACAACAACAACAACAGTAGCGGCAAAAGCAGCAGCTGTATTGACAACAACCGACGCATCAAGTAACGAAGCGGCAGAGATCTCCAAGCTGCCAACTGCAACAGTTGCCGAAACAAGCAAATGCAACAGCACAACAAATAACAACTGCGACAACAACAACACCACCATTATAAATATCGCAAAGAGCGTAAGCCATTGTACGACACCCATTACTGTCGACACCACAAACCATTTGCATACACAACTGCCATATCTACACCACGACCATCATAATCAACAGCCGCAACAACACAACCATCTGCTGCAGCATAGTAACGGCAATAGCTTGAAGCGACACAGCAAAAGCAGCGAAAGCAAAAGCATCACATCACCACAGCTGAGCTGTGGCAGCGGTTACTCGGCGATTTTATCCTCCTCCTCGTCGTCTGCCTCGCCAGCATCGTCGATAGCATCGAATTGCTCGGTAGCTTCGTCGAAGAAGTCGACAGCGAGTCACAAGAGTAACAGCAGCAACAGCAGTAGTAGTAGTAGTAGCAGCAGTTCCTCTTCCTCTTCCTCCTCCTCCTCATCCTCAAATTCGGCGAAATTTTCCACGTCTTCCGCCAACTCAGCGTCTACGTGTGCGAAGGCTTCGCACGTCGCATCAAAGGCCACATCCACGAAATCCGCCAACACCGTTAACGGTGTACAACAGAAATCCGTCAACGCTGCGGCCACAACTGAAACGGGGAAGAAGTGCGCCGCGACAAAAGCTGCTGTAAAATCGGCTGTCAAGTCGGTGGTGAAGGCACGCGACAAGTGCACATCAACGCTTTCGACAGCCGTCGCAGCGCTAGCGACCGCGAACGCAACCGAGTCGAAGACAATCACCAAATCCGCTTCGTTGCACTCGCTGAGTAGCTGTTCCGGCGGCTCGGCATCGCTATTGGCAGCATTCTCATCGCCCGGCTCGACAGCAACCACCCTCGAGCTTATATCGGAGACGTCGTGTAACGCGCTCCTGACAGCCACGCAGCTGAGTGGTAAAGTGGGTTTCGAGCACACATTTCAAGACGTCATACTGTTGCAGGAAGCATACGACGATATGTCAGAAGGTGAGTCGCCCCAGTCGCCTCAGTCGCCAGTCGATAGTGATTGCGCGTAAAGCCGCTGATGGCATTGTGAGATAATAAAAAAATATATTTTATGCTCGCGTTGTTTTTGTTGACTTTTGCCTTCTTTTCATCTCGTCTTTCCATTCGGCTCGTTACAGGTGAACAACGCTTGAATGCGGCGGCGGCATCATTCCTCAGCGGTGGTGGTATTAGCAGTGATGATGGCGCAAATTCCGATGGCTATGATGCGCGGCAATCACCACCGAAGGCGATTGTCGATTCTAGTCCATTGCAGCCGGCGATGGATAAAAATAAAGAATGTGAGTGTTCAATTTTATTAAAGCACCAACAACCTCAAACAAATATGTCAGAAAAGATTTCTTTTCGAACCATTTTGCAGCCAATTTGGGCAAATTTTCGCATTAGCGTAAATTGTATTTAAATTTTTTATTTTCTTATATACTACTTTTCAGTTTCCCTCAGAACCCCCGCATTTCTGGCGCGATAATAAGTTTAAATATTTTTATTTTTCTTTCCCTGAGTATCCAGCTCCCTTTGCTGCTTGCTGTCAATTCCCGTAATTCGCACTTTTGGTTTTCTTTCTGAAAGATTCGCCATTTGCGCGTTAAGAAGTTTGTGAGTCGAAGCCTCATCAGTTCAATTTTTCTTTAGCGACATCTTTTTTCGGAAAGTTTTCAATGTTATTTGCTACTTTTAGCAATATTGAACAGTTTGCGCGAGTAAAATCGATACTTTTACAAAGAAATATTTGAACGTACCCGATAGGAAATGTGTAGCTAGGAAATAATAGTTGAACCATTTCGAGGTTTCCTACTTTTCTAAAGGAAAAACACAGAAGCTTCAAATTTAAAGAGGAGTATTTATTATCATTCGAAAGAACATTCTTTGCCATTTATTTTTCTAAGATTATCTCTTTAAAATGTTGGCCGCTGTTACGTCTGGTCCATCCGCTGGAAAAAGCCTAACGGTGTGACATCACAGATTCTTGGCGGCCAATCAACCGCCCCAAAACGTGAATTTACCTGCTCACCGAAGTTTCCTCTCAATAAATCCATTGAGAGATGCGTTGTGTGGGAAGTGGCGTAGTCTTGTTGTGACCAAATGTCGCCGAGATCACGAGCTTCAATTCAAGGCATCAAATAGTCGGTTATCATTGTGCTAAAATAAGTTAATACTCACTGATCCAAACGATGTTTGATCGCCGAAAAAATAGCTCTTGGCTGCATGAAGTCCGGGTCAACTGGCATCATTTTTGAAGAAATACAAACCAATGATTCCAGCGGTCAACATACATACCAAATCATTGTTTTTCTGAAAGAAATGGCAGCTCTTGAATCTGTTCAGGCTGCTCTTCGTCCAAATGCGTCAATTGTGCTTGCTTACATATCCAGTGAGCTAGAAATGGACCTCACACTGTACAAAATTTGGCTGGAAAAAGTTGGCTCCTCTTGGAACTTTTAAAGAATCCATAGAACTAACGATGTCGCTTGGCAAGGTCGAGCAATTCAGGTCTTGAATAGGCTGTATTTTGTACTCTTTCAATTTAAGATTTCTATGTAAAATGCACCAAGCCGTCCCATACGTTAGTCCAAGTTATTGCGAACGGCGCCAAATCGACTCCAAACGGTTCACTCTCCGCTTTGGTTGCTATATTTTCTTCACTGTGTGCTGGACGTAAACTTTTCGGTCGAATATTATCTAATAATTAAGGCTGGGTCTCAAGATGGGAGATGGTGTTGCGAATAATACGATCAGTAGGCCGATTTTGTTGACCATACGTTCAGAGAATTCCACGAAACACATTCTTTACAGAACGTGAATTTTCGTAATAAAGTTGAACAAATTGTAAACGTTGTTCACTTTCCATGACAAAATGCTGAAAATATACTGAACAAAAATAACATAACAGTTTGACGTGTGATCTGAAAAAAGGCTATTGAAAAAAGTGCCTCTACTGAGATCACCCTTCCCCATATAACAATTTTTTTAATTATCTGCATCTGCATCTTTCCCGATGTTGCTTTCTTTTTTTGAAGTTTCCCTTAGTGCATGGTTATACTATTACTTCAATAAATGTTAAGTGAAAAGCCCGTGCAACCCAAAATTCTTACAGGTCCTTTCAGCTCACATTCAAATTCGAGTTGTGTCGTTTGCGCAAAGTTTGCAATCAATGCAATATTGTTGACAACTAAAATCAAAGGGTACAACGGCACAAAAAGTTTGATATGTTTGCTGTCTATTAAGTTCTTTTATGGTCCTGACAGTTTATAATCTTTTTTGCCATTCGTAAATACAAAATTGTTGTGAGCACAAATTCAAAGCGCTGAGACAGCGACCCGACCAAATTTTGCCGACACAATATAGTCAAAGAGTGTTAAAGGATGGGGAAAGCTGGTTTTTAAGCTCTGTTGGTTCGGGCTTTTATAAGAATTGCAAAAAAAAAAAAATGGTTTGAAACAAAAATGAACATTTTTGGAAGCTAATACAGATATCAATCAGCAGAGGTGCTTTAACAGTATTTTTTAAAAAATTCTGTTTGAAGTGTTCTGAATTCCTGAAAGTAGTAATTTGTATAATTTTTTTTTATAACACAAAGAGCAGGACTTATTTAAAGTTAGGCTATGGGAGGTAACAGTTGAAAAAGAAACGACCTGGCTCTTTTGACCGCTCCCAAGTGAATGGCGCTCACAGCACTTTCCTCACTTTCATGAACTTCTACACATGGCTAAAACCTCCGTTGCAATAAAAAATACAGTATCCGTTTAAAATCCCAATCAGAGCTGAGTTGTGTTACGTACTAATATTTTAGTTTACAAGCAAATAATTGAATCATAAATTTAGTTGTGCAGTGTTCAAAGAATTTTAATTTTCGGCTTTTATTTTAATGAATTCAATTTCATTGCTCATGCATATTTCAAATAAGAGTTTGCATTTCAAATCATATTAAAATGCATATGCATGTAAGTGGGTGTGTAAAATTTCCTGTAGCATCCCCAGCACAGCCAGTAGAGAGCGAGTCACTCGAAACAAGGCGGCGCAGAGGATTCGAATAAAAACATCTATGTCATTGGACATCGGCAACAGCAGCGCACAGCTTTGACCAACGTTCTTTGTCATATATATACATGTGTATAGAATGAGTATACTATATATGTATAATAAAATATTAATTTAGTGCCCTACTAAACACTGTAATTCAGTCGTTCATCTCATCGCTAAGTAAAATATGGTTTGCTGTCACAGCCGCCCGTCATTGCATGCAATTTGCCAACTCAAATCGTTGCATATGATTAAATTATTTATGTGTATAAGCATACAAACGTACATAACCATTTTTCGGTCAAAATAAATGTGTAAGTCACGTCGTGGCATTTTTGCTGACGCCAGTGGTGGGTGGTTTCGCGACCCACTGAGTGAGTAGGCGATGAGCCACCATCTGCTGTTAACTCATCACTTAGCTGTGCTGAATTTCGAAGGAAAACGCTGCACATACACATGAACTTTATATACTTTCAAGAACTTGGTTCAATTTAGCTGAGCTGTTCACTCAGTTTTGCTCAGCACATCTTAAAGATGGATTCAACTTAACGTTACGTAACTTACGTAAGGTAAATTTTCATTTTCAGTTTTGCGCCATCTTATACTTTAAACCCTTGGATCTAATGCCCAGAAAAAACGTTGGATATCCTATAGATTATATGCGCATATATCAAAAATCAGCAAGACGTGCTGTTGTCGACTTAGTCATACCCGTTTTTGTTTTATTCGTCTGTCCATCTGTTCGTCTATCTTTATCTGATAAATGCGATAAGGCACTAAGCCTTAGTTTTTGAGCTCTTTTGTCGGAGCTGTCGATATTAGATCACTATAGCATATATGTAGCTGCCATATAAACTGACCGAACGAACTCAAGTCCTTGTTTGGAAACGTTTTTTCTTGATTAAATTTGACACAGATCATTATCCAAGGCAGCGCTATTATTTTCGAAGAAATTGTTCAGATCGGAAAACTATAGCATTTAGCTGCCATGCAAGCTTACCTATCAAACTTAAGTCCTTGTATGGAAAACTTTTTCATGTGACAAGGTATCTTCATGAAATTTTGTACAGATAATTATTCGTGGCAGCGCTAGAATCTTTGAGGAAATTGTTGCGATCGGAGTCCTATAAGATATACCTGCCATACAAACTGACCGAACGAACTGAAGCTCTTGTATAGAAAACTTTTTTACTTGAAGAGCTATCTTCACGAAATTTGGCATGGAATATTCTCTGAGGTAAGGCTACAATTTCCCGACAAACTGTTGAGATCGGACAACTATAGCATGTAGCTGCCATACAAACTGACCTATCACTCTCAGATACTGCTATGGAAAACTTTTGTATTTGACAAGATATCTTCATGGAATTAGACTTAGATTAATGCAAAAGCATCGCTGTAAAATCAAAAGAAATTGTTGAGATCGTATAGCTATAGCATATATGGAGCTGACATTTAATCTGACTAATTAAAATGAAGAAAAAGTTCCTTTTATACCATTTAACGCTACAAAAATGCACCTGTGAAGCGTATTATAGCTGCGTTGCAACCGAATTCAACATGYTTCCTTGTTTAATTTGCTTTCTTTCTTTCATTGTAATAAGACTTAACATACTTTACCTTAACTTATCCTGACTTACCCTGTAAATTAACTCGTCATAATTTAACTTAAAGCAATTTAGTTTCAATTCAGCTTATTTAACGGTACAATAAAGGGCCAAAATTTATTTAGCAAACTGAAAAGATATTGCTTACTGAAACTTGTGCTATAAATGCCTCACGGAATCTAAGCCTTTCCGACCGTTAGCTGTGATTATAAAGTCCATTTCGTGTACATTTCGCTTGCTTGCAGTCATTGTACGTTTAATTGCAATTTGTAACCAAAAATTTAAACACATTGTGCTTTTTAATTTAATTTTTGTGCTTTTGAAATTCCATTTTATGGGCAATTTCGCCTGCAGCGTTGCCGCAGACTTTTATAATTTATAAGTCTTAAAACTTAATACTCAACTCGTGCATGTAAAGCATATTCTGCGGATATAAAATAGGTACATGGAATATATATATACATATGTACATTTGCGGTCATCGTCAAGCACCTAACGAATGCTTAGCGCAAAAGCATTAGCGAAAATTAAAATAAACTTTTAATTTGCCTGAACTTGTGTGCTAAGAATTCTCCTGCTGTAATGCACCCACTCAACACGGCACATAAGCACTTAAGCACGTACATAAGTGTCTATATATCAGTTTCGTTTGG